AATAAGGAAGCCAAGAAATTATATCTTTGCAAAGAAAAAAAAGGGCTTAGTTATGGTGTCCTTTTGATATATCAAAACAGGGGTGCTCAGCCTGAGAATCAGTTGTTCCTTTCTTGATGCTCATGGGACCTGGATATACTCGGGGGCAAAAGGAGGTAGTTTCACGAGTGAATTAAGTTGTCTTTTTTCCTCCACTCAAGAGGAGGTTACATGGATTTCTGTCCTTAAAAGGATTGGATGTCCTAGTCTAAATGGTGGTCAATATTCAAAATATTCTAGGCCAAGTTGGCAAAGTAAATGTAGTTGAACTACTGGGGCCAATTGGCATCCACCTCAGGAGTTCTAGAGAGACTCAAGGGTGAATTGGGACACTGATGGCCCAAGAGTGCAATGTGCAGTCATTCCTGTTCTGCAGATTACAAATGGGAGCCAGTTTGAAAATGAATTAATTAATTAGTTATTTAGTTAATCGATTAATTTTTAAAGTTTCCACAGGATGCCCTAGCAATTAGACTCCGCAAATCTCCATTTCCTCTCTGACCAGCTAGTGGAGTCTATAATGAAGAATGGGATTTCTGAATATTTAAATATAATGATCTGAAAAGAAGCAACATCATTTCTGTGGCAAGAAATCATACCCAGAGAAGGCACTGATAAAGGAACTAGCAAATATAATTTTGATTTTCAAAAACTCTTTTGACAGCCTACTACTCCAAAGGCAGTTTCATGGGCTTTGGGGCTGTAATTTGCACAGTGATGGGTCTGACAAAGATCCAGAAAAACAGACTAGGAGTAACTGAGCACTTCTCATGATGCACATGTGTATAAGTTCAGGAGCACTCAGAATGATCTTAATGAATATATGTGTTTTTCAATTACTAGAGGAGGCTTCTCACAGTGACATCTCTAGAGGGTGCATGGGTTGACATTATTTCTGTTAGCAAAAGGCCAAGCCTAAGAGGGAAGACTACAGCACACCTTCCCAAATCTGTATAAGGTGGGCTAAGGGCAAAATAATGGTAAAGATAAAGAGACTAAATTATGCATATAATATGAATGAATCTATGTAACTATTTACAACAGAAAAAGTGTCTGGACATCCTTTTAGAGTACCTTTTGTTTCAAAGATATGCATGCTGTTGTGACCAACTATCTATTCTCTCATCTCTTCCTCTCCTTCCTTCCCTCCTTTGCTTTGCTTTGCTTTGCTTTGCTTTGCTTTGCTTTGCTTTGCTTTGCTTTGCTTTTTAATTCCTTCACACACACACACACACACACACACACACACGAGTTTGTATCTGGAAATCATGCTCAGCTCCTACCACTGTGCTTCAGTCAGCTAGAGGGTGGACAGCAAAGATTTATGTTTTCAGAGTAAGGAATCAGGACTCAGCTGGGTGTCTTAATTATAAAATCTAGCTTTGAATGGTGTTATTTTTTAAAAACAATTCTCAGGAAGCAGTCATAGAACTAAAAACCTCAAAAAATGATAGCTATTATTATTATAAATGAACTATAAAAATGACCAAATATGGAAATTCCTATTTTGTATGGAACTGCAATGTCAAATTTTTCTTAGTTATAAAATAATTTATTATATCCCAGTATATTTGGAATAGATGAGGACTTTTTTCTGGAAATAATAATGTCATGATCTGTGACAGAGAAATATGTATGTGATTTATTACAAAGAAGTTTAACTTTCATTTCATTATATTCTGTGAGTATTTATATCTAGTCTTTAATTAAACATGATTTATTCCAATTGAGGTCTGTTTCCATTTAGATTGCTTGCAGTGTTAATCACAGTGCAAATAGCCTTCACCGCTGAAAGAACTCTTGCATTATACTGATATATAAAGGCTTCTGTGTAATTTGCATCTGTTATCTGAGCCTACATGTTACTAGATGTGTACATAGGCAGAAATGTTTTACTTATTTGCTACTATATTAAAGTATGTAACTCATTTAATATAATGTTTTTATTTTTATGAATTTAGATCAAGGTAGTTTTTTGGTTTAAAAAAATGCACAAACAGTAGAGGATCTTTTTTTTTTTTTTAATCACAAACTAAGTATGGCTAGAAAGCATTTTCATTTCAGCAAATGCAATTCCAGTTCATTCCACCTCATGTTAACTTCTGGGTAAAGGTGTAACTATTTTTAGAAACAAATGTTCTTAATTTTAACTTCCATTGTTGATGATTGTAGACCTGGTCTGATGAACAAATAGAAGTTCAAAGATCGATTAGTCTCAATTAAATTCACATTCTCATGTGTTAAGTACTACTTATCGTGTAAAATCTTAGAAGAAATGAGGAAGCAAAGAACAACGGTAACTGCATATCCTTAATAGTACATATAATAAGTCTTGATTGTTCTCACATCATCAACTATGCAAACTTCCTTCTATTAACATTTCAAAGCAGCAAGAGCTGGGTTTGATTTTACTCATGATATAGGTCAATATTAAAATGAGAAATCTTCAGGTAAGGTAATTCTCTTACCTGAGAATTAAAACATATGTTGTACCTCTTAGCATCAAATCCTGGGTGGGTCTCTGTCCAGCCTTCTTTCATTTATTTAAGTCCATCCCACATATGGCTTTTCTAAATCTTTCTAGGGTACAAGGGTATAGAGGCTACCCTCCCAGCTGGCTCCAAGCCTTCACTGCCAAAAGAGAATGGCCAGTTCCCTCAGCTGGCACTAAGAGTTCATGGTAATCTGGTCCTATCTACATCCTCAGACTTGGTTCCCAGCACACCCTTCCCACTCTGTCCTCCAGACAAACTGTGCTATTTGTGTACTTGAACACACCGTCATACCATGAATGCTTCTCTTCAAAGTTGTGACTCATTCTGGATCCCTGCTTGGAAATACAATACCCTCTTCATCCTGTTTTTATTAATCCTAATTAAAACTTTCCTTCAAATCCAAGATCAAATTCTATTTCCCTTATGTGCTCTTTTTCAGACATTAATTAATACTCAGTTTCTTCCCTATAAGTATATAAAAGAGTAGCTTTTTATGTCTAACTTTACAAAATAAGACAATGCATTCTTTAAGACATGAAGATTTAACTTCTTGTCAGGCTCTGACATATCTCACCTAAAACAAATTGTAGTAGATATGATACAGGGAAAGACATATTAAGCATGTTCCAAAGTAGCCAGTCATTGCCATTTCCTGACATTCATCTGGTAAGGAAATAAATAGCACAGTGACTTTTGTGCTATTTTCAAAGTTTAATGAAAATATTTTGCATGTTAGTCCAATATAAATAAAAAGTGAATTTTTGTTAAGACAAAAAGAGCTAAATATCTCATCAGATGAGAAAATGAATGTGACATACTCTTCCTTCCCTCCTTTCTCTCCTTTCCCTCCTTCCTTCCTTCCTTCCTTCTTGCTTAAGAGTTTTAGTGTCAAATATTTGTGAGTCTGTTATATAGTACACAGCTGTTTTTTAGAGATGATCAGATTCTGATTTTATCCTATTGTTTGATATTATAAAATGATCAAATTATTCAGATTCTTTCTGAACACAGTCATGAATTGTCTCTACTCTCAAACTGTAGCACTTGACCAGACACCAAAAGGGATGGTTTTTTCAGAGAAAGTGGTCACCTGCCTAAAGAAATTTAGACCAAACTTTGCCATAAACTTAGAATGAAAGGATGACCAAATCTGCTTCCAGGAGGAGATGCTGTTTATAAGAAAGAAGTTAAAGGAAAGGGCAAAATAGAGGTTTTCTAGTATTTTGTCCTTGTTTGATATTGAGGGGGTAGTTTAATGATCATATTGTTTTAAGCACTATGAAAACCCAGGACTTCAGAATAACTTCTGATACGTTGTAGTGTATCCGAAGGCACATCACACATCTGAAATAATTTTTTTCTGATTGTTTGCACCACTATTTTGTTATAAATTTTATCAAGAAATATTTATTGGGCACTAGTGGTTTTCCAGATAGAGTGTGGCATTTGTGAAGGTACAAAGAACAGTGCAGGACGGGTGCTGCATTTGTAAACTTTACAGATTGACTAGGTGAAAGGGTGAAAGGCACATAAACAGACAGTCCCTAAGTAACACCATTTAGATATGTAAGAAGGAGTTGTGGGAATAAGAGCAGAGCAGGATTTCAGTTGAGATAGATGATAGGAAGGGAAAGTGATGGGAAGAGTGCATGTCCTCCAATTACTTTACTAGCTCCCACAGAACCTAGCTTGGTGCTGAGCTTAGACGAAATGATGTGTAAATATCAGTGATTGATATTTGACTGAATTAGTCTTTAATTCTTTTTTCATTCAAAATCCCATTTGTTGTCCCTGTTGTCCAAAATTAGTGTGGAAATTAGTATAATTTGCTGAATGTTTTATATTTCGTATGGTTTTGCATCAGGTATAATAATGATTCATAAAAGGTAAGTCCCTTTAGCCCTCCTAACTTTAGAAACCCTTGAATGAGATTAGGAAGTGATCATCATTTACAGTTATTATACTTTGCATATAACAAGATTTACCTATTAACTCCAATTTACTTCTCGTCGCATTCATCAAAGGCGAACTATTTAGAAACTAAGACATCTCTGTCAGTTAGAATTTTAATGAATTAAGATGAAATGAGACAGTGTTAATTGGCAGTGGTTGCTGCTGAGGAGGTTTCTAGATCTTGTGATACCAATTCATTTCTCTATCAGGGTTAATTTGTTTGATTTAATTCTAAGGATACGCTGAATATTTCCCCAAACTATTCACATTTATTTTCAGGATAGGAGAGTGGTTTAGTTCTGCTGGATTTGGATTCTCAACTCCATTTGAACTGGATTTAATTTGATTGCTAATAAATTGTTGATTGTAGGCACCATTTATATTATTGACTAGCGACATACACACACAGAGCATTATTTAGACTTTTTTTTATTTGAAACGCCTAAAACCTTCTAATAACTGATCATTTTTTCACCAATAATTGTCTTCCTCTCTTCTCTCTGTTTTCCTCAGATATTAATGAGTGTGAAGCTGAGCCTTGCAGAAATGGTGGAATATGCACAGACCTTGTTGCTAACTATTCCTGTGAGTGCCCAGGAGAATTCATGGGAAGAAATTGTCAATACAGTAAGTATTCATATATATATAAACCTTTATTTGCATAGCCTCCATTTATTATGGAATCGGGGCCAAAATCAATAATAATTTGCTTCCAGATTTCATAATGTATTGAAATGGCACATTTCATATTTGTTGTTGTTAATGTTATTAATGTGCATCTATTCTCCAGGATGGGTCTCACTTAGAACATGATAGGCATAGGAGTGGTTGCCTTGTGGTCTGAAAGGAGGTCAACAGTTCCTCAGAGACCCAAGTACATCTCTTCCATGAATCACATTTTGGCTTTTGAGTTGTGCATATGACCTAATTTTCTCCCAGAGTGGTTACTCTGTTTCAAAGAGTAAATTCAGAGCATTCTAACCACATAACCTTTGTCACAGATAAAAGGTAGAGATTAATAAGGGTTCATGTTGAATTGGCCAACACATCAGTAAGAGTTTTACATGCTATTTATTTGTCTTCTTGAAAGCCTAAGACATTAGGGTCTTGAGATGATGGATCAAATTACAGAATAATAATTTACCTGAAATGTTTACAAAGAAGCACAAAGCACCCCACCTTCTCCAAAACAAATAAAAAACCTAGGGAGAAGTAGTAACAGGATTACAGTCAGTAAGAGGAGACTGGAATTGGGCACAAGTTCATGCTAACAAGAACAATAGTCATGTAGCTTAATAATTGTTGGGCACTTATAGAAACTTGATAGTGCTACTACTTTGATGTGTATAATGCTATTAGAGCATCATAACATTATGCAAATTCAAAAGGCAAACGCAGATAAGAATTCAGACATAGAAACTGAGACACATAGGCTATGTGGTTTGCCGGGTTCTCACAGTTAGTGACAGAACCAGGACTGGAAGGAATCTAGAATCAGGTCTTGTGATTCCCAGTTCAGTGTATTTTCCTCTAAACCAAGAATGATGCCTCTTTGGATAGAGCTGAACAAGATAAACTTGAAAGCACCCTCCACCTCCACTCTGTCTCTCACACACACACACACACACACACACACACACACACACACACACACACTCTCTCTCTCTCTCTCTCTCTCTCTCTCTCTCTCTCTCTCTCCCCCTCTCTCTCTCTCTCTCTCTAGCCAGAGTAACAATTTTATTTCTCACTTTCCCTCTCTTTCTTCCTCCTTGACAATGGTAATTTATAAAATAAAACAAGGAAAATTATTGAAGAATTTATTTGGGTTATGTATATAAACAAAATGATGATCTGGAGATTCTCATTACCCTAGTCCTGAAAAACTTCATTAAAATAATGAAATTGTGAATATCAAAGAAATACCTTGGATGGGGAAAATATTTCTAAGCTTAAAAATAATTGAAGAAGGACATGGAGCATGAGTTAATAAAGGAAGCTTCAGGCATGGATGAATGGAAGGAAAGGACAGTATGAGTAAGCAGGTTGATCATACAACTGGATGACTAATAGCCACCCAGTCAACAAACCTAGCAACCTTCCTATAAACCATTTAACTGACTACCCACTAAGTTGACTTAAATTCAGTTTCAACTGGTCCTTGGCCCACCCAGGCCCAGCTCTTGCATCTTTTTTCTTTTGGTTCATGGGACCTGAATATGGCTGCCTAATCAGCCTTTGCCCCTGTACTGACCAAGGAGCAACTAGACAGCCAGTTGGTTTCTTACCTATTGAAAATGGAAAGAGACCTTGATGTGAGCTAGAAATTGAAACCAATGACTAAAGCCTATTCATCCCTCCATCAGAGATTTTACTGAGGTCACCACATCCGAAAATACCCTTGAAAAGAAAGAAACCTGATAGGTTAGGAAGGATGTATTGAAATAGACTTTCAACTTCATGGCCATAAGTTCGCATCTAGTGTCTTTGCTATTGCGTTTAATGAAATTCTTTGTTTTTCTCTGACTTGGTTTTATATTTGTAAAATATTTATATGTAAATCCAGACTGCTCTCTGAACATGCATGTGATAGTGAGGTGCCTCCCTTAACCTATCGTATGCTCTAACATTCTACTGTTCCCTCTGTTCATCTCTGTGCCCTGACAGATATCGGAACAGGTCACCTAAGGTACAATCTAAAATATGTTCCTCTTGGGGTATTTGTTTCTGTTGCATTGATTTATAAGAGTATGTAATAAATTCAGGATTCTGATTCTTCCCATTGTCTAGGTTTCTGAGGCTATGGTTTTGCTTTTTATTCTGTGGCTTTTTAGAACGTTTAGAAAACCACAGTAAGAAAGTGCATCTTGCCACAGTGATGATTTAGTGATATGCATTGAGAACGTAGAACATTCACTCACTACATGGCATATAGAAGCACCTGCAGGTTACAGGTAATGCTAGCTCCCAGCTAATTGAGTTTAGGATCTTAGGAGTTGACATTACATAGATTATAACCAATTTGCATACTTCTACTCTGAAGTAAGATTGATGAACTTTCTTCGGGCTTTGTATGCTCTCCCACAGGGGTCCACTAGGTCAACTTACACCTGCAATAATGGGAGAGAAGCCATTTGTTTCAGCAGATATTTCATGTGAGAGAGGGAAAGAAGAATGATGGAGACTAACTGCTGGGAGGTTAGAGGACACCCATACCGAAGTGTCGTTTTCCTTGTGTTCACATTCAAGCTGTCAGTCTAATTTGGGGCTGCTGCACTTATATTTGCCTCACTTGTACCACTTCTTTCTTATTTGTACTGATGGGTTAATTAAGTTTTAGTATATTTTGTAATGGGGTTATGCAAATGGATTTGAAATAAGAGAGGTAGACAGGGATCTGTTTCTCATTTTAGGCCATTTCTACATGCAGACATCTTGATAGTTTATCTGAGATCACTTATTTATTTCTCACTCATTTCAAATAATCAACAGACATATGAATGCTATGATCTGACCAACTACTACTACTAATGAGCCTTGAAAATATAAAAGTGGTAATTTTGGAGGTTGCTTTTTAGGTTGCTTTTTACAGGGTGTAGACAGACTGATCTTGATATCTGTCTACTTATCACCAAAAGATTTGTTTTTCTCAGATCTTAACCTTTTCTCTGCATTTTTCTCATATTTACCATACCTTCAATTTTAATCAATTTATTATTACTACCTTTATCAGTGTAATTAAATGAAATATTTTTAATATTAATGATATTCTACATTTTAAAAACCTAAGTATATTTATTCATTTTCAGTTAAACCATTAAAGGTAAGATGTTTATGCTGAGATGCTACTTTAATATTATTTTTTAAATTATGTGACTTCTTTATTTATAATGTATGTCTTTAATTAATATAGCTATTAAGTACTTTTACTTTGTAAGGAATAAATTTATATTTAACCCTATCTATTATAACACAATGCCTATGTGGTAATAATTATTACATGTATCAATCACCTATTAAACATTTTCAGTAACAATATAATTATTTCAGATGTTAACAACAAATATTTTAATACTTGGCAAAGGATCTGCCTGTAATTTTCACACTAATTATTTCCTAATAATATTTACAGATGAGTTAAGGCAATAATACATCTGATTTATATAATTTCAGTTTAGATTTCCATATACAGTTCATACAACTTATCATTAACTCTGAGAAATCTCAGTTATTTTTTAGTTTTATTCTTCATTTTTTATTACAGGGGGTTTAAGTTTGATTATTTTTAATTTTAATTGAAGTTACTTTTTTTTTTTTTTTTTGCGGTACACGGGCCTCTCACTGTTGTGGCCTCTCCCGTTGTGGAGCACAGGCTCCGGACGCACAGGCTCAGCGGCCATGGCTCACGGGCCCAGCCGCTCCGCGGCATATGGGATCCTCCCAGACCGGGGCACGAACCCGTGTCCCCTGCATTGGCAGGCAGACTCTCAACCACTGCGCCACCAGGGAAGCCCCTGAAGTTACTTTTGATTGATACGTCAAAATCGTTTAGATGTTTCCGTAATATCTATTACAGTATTACAGATACTCTTCTAATTTAAGTTCTAATTTATATTCCTTTGTCACTTTTAAATGATATAAGTTCAAGTGTTCAGATAGCCATTTTCATAAACAGCTTGAAAAGACAATGATGATGAACTGGAATGAGAAACCTATATATCAACCATTTAGTAAAATATCTAGGTCAATACATTTTGTAAAAAAGCAAATAATTGCATAAATAAATAACTAGACAAAAGGATTTTGAGTTATCTAAAAAGTTAAATCTAGTTTAGTCCCCTTTTTCTTTTGTTATAATTTTGTGAAATTTTAAAACAACTGCCTATCTTTAGTAACTGACTGTGTGTATTGAGAACAAAATATGTAGAAGTCAGCTTTAATGCCTTGCATACCATGTTTTACAAGTACCTAAATTTAGGAAATCCAGTGGCATTAACATAATTTTTAATAAACAAATATTGTTAATTCAACCAAAACCATTATAGGAGATAGGAGTTGCTTTAGTTTTTGAAAAATATGACATCATAACATACTTCTGAACCACAAACACCTAAGTTCATTTCTTTATGTTTTCATGTTTACAATTATTGTAAACTGTCACTGTTACTTGATCAAGTACTTTAGTGAATGATGAACAGGAACTAACAGTGGAAAAATAATATCAGTATTTTCTTATCTAATATAGATGGTCAGAGATTATAGTTTTATCCTATCTAACACTAAATTTCTACTCTGCTATATCCAGCTATGACATAGATCCAAAAGCAAAATATAAGAGATTCTGATTAAAATAAAGAGTTTTAAAAATAAAAGGTGTTTATGAGGAAGTAAAGATTAGAATTAAGACACATAAATTTAATGAGAAAATTGTGTTAAGTCCAGTATTAAAACATACTGAATGTATATAATTGTGTTCAATAAATAAACTAGCCACAGATATTTATTGAGTTTTTCTTAACTATGTACAGAATTTTCAGAACATGTATTAATGAATTAATTCATTCACCAAATTGGATCCAACACTAGCCACCCCTTAGAGCTGGGACAACAATGGCGGTTAAATTCAGTTC